AACGGGGTTTTGTCAAGGCGGCGTACGTAGAACGGCCCGCTTACGAGAGTGTCCGCTCAGAGATGGCTTCGACTGTATTTTTTTTCCTTAGGCCGCAAATACCTGGGGCTTTCCTTTCTTCCTTGAAACGCTCAATCACATTTTCCAGAATCAGATTCCGAGGCAGTCCATCTACACCGCGCGGATCAACCGGAATTTTTCGCCGACACGTCGGACATTTGACATCGGGATCCAAATGAGACTTGTAATCAGCGCCTCGGTTCTCTTTCACCCATTTTGCCCATACTTTCGGCGCGCCATTAGGCTCCAAGATTTTTCGCGCGCACGGGGTACACAGGTTATGGGAGCAGGGTAGGACTATCGGTCTTTGAAAGAGATCCAGACAAACAGGACATGTTAACTCGACCTCCATTACTGAAGAACGATGTTTACGGGCATGATGCGGTGGATTATTGTTCGTAGCCGCGATAGTAACCTTGGTAGCGCACGGGATTGAGCTCATCGCGAGGAACGTGTGTATCGCGCGCGTTCACACGCGTGTTCTTATTAGTCAAAATGACCACGTTCTTCAGAAAACGTAATACCTTCATTCTTCCTTTAAACCGCTAAGATTTAAGATCCTCCTGACTTTTTAGATGGATATATGAATAACACATACCCTGTAAGCCAAGCTAAAATTAAAGTCGACCAGAATTTACATGTGAAAGTTTTACGTGCACAAGTTGCGTGGAAAATGCCATTCACATGTATGGAAAATAAGTTTAGTGCCAATATTGATTTTCGCCAAGAGTTTTCGCCTATGTTTTAAACTGTTATTTATATTTCATATAAATTTGCAGACACATTTTTCAATTAGTTTCAACCACTTTTGCACCACTTTCACGGGCCAAACTAATAATTTCTTTGCTGTTCAGTTCTATAGTGCTTTAGCGACAAACATCAGGCGAAAACCTGTGACGGAATATATGGGATGTATTTGCGTCGAAATTTATGAATTTTGTCCGGATACGGTTCACGATTTGAGTTAAAAAGAAAAAATAAACACACAAGAGAACATTGCTTGGGGGAAGAGGTAGGGGAGGCGAGGGTTTGAGTCGGAAACCCCACTTATATCCGTCAATTCAGTTGAATCATTAGTTTTAAACGAACAAGTAAGGTCAAACTAGCAAGCATTGAACAGCACTGATGCACACGCGACCGTAATAACGTGAATTAAATAAAGCCGGGAAAACAAAAGACCTGGCTTAGGAGTGTCATTATTTCTATGTAAACAGGCCCTTCGGCTTCCTTATATCAATTCCACGAGGGAGTCATCGATCAAAATACAAGAACAGTCTTTGCCCACAAATCGTGTAGCATTCTTTCAATTCATTATCACCGTCGTCTGAAAGCAAAATGTATCCTTAGCAGACTCACTTAGCAGGTCATGAATGCAAATGTTCAATTGTCTGCGGTTAATAGAAGCTTAAAACAGTTGATTCGCTTTGTGTCACTTCTTTGGATCTCATTGTGTTGTTATGAAAGGCGCGCATGCCATTATTGTCATGTTAATCTGTGGCACGTGTATCATATATTGAATTGCTGTTCAATCAATTTTAATTTATATCCTTGCCTATTTGTTCAGCGTGTCCTTTGAGACTAAATTTATTTCTATTAAAAAAACTGCAAAGCTCACACAGAGAAAATATATGTTAATTTCTGGAAAAAAGAAAAAGAAAAATACCCATGTATTCACGTTGTTCCCAGCTTTGAAAATTATTCACAGACTCTGATACTAAATTGAATGTACAATTATTTATTTTCGTGTATGTTTTACATTTTATAGGGATCAATGACGGTGGTTTTTCCTCAGAAAACCATTTCAAATGCACCTGGACCAAGTCAAATAACACAAGCAGTAGCCAATCAGGGTATTCGTCTATAAAAATCAGCCAATCAGCAGCGCTAGATTGACACGTGCTAATTTGGCGCTAATTGTTTGTGGAATGAAAAAAGCAAACAAATTTTTTGTCGTCTCTCGTCGCGCGAAACGTGTTGTGAGCGCGGCGCGGGTAACGAAAAATCCGCCGAAAAATGGAGGCAGAATTGACTTGCCTCGTCTGTAAAAAGCCGTTTGTAAACCCTATCATGCTTCCATGTTCTCACAGCGTTTGCTTGGCTTGTTCACAATCCTCGTTGACAACCGCCGGTGGTGGAGATAACCCGCCGACGACAAGTTCTAATGGAAGTACAACCGGTCAAGACGACTCGACGACGGACGAAACACCGTACGTTACTTTGTACGACATGAATCACTTGTACCAAAGTATAGGGAATCTGCCATGCTTGAAGTGTCCTACATGTAACAAACTCTTTCCCCTCGATGGTCGAGGGGTCAATGGTTTTCCCCGAAACCGCCTCTTAGAAAATATTGTCAATCGCTATTATGCAAAATCAAATGGAATTGTTTATTGTCAACTTTGCGAAGAAAACCAACCTTGCTTAGCCACAGTGATGTGTGAGCAGTGCGAGGTGGCTTACTGTGATCGCTGTTGTAAAACCTGTCATCCCAGCCGAGGTCCTTTGGCGAAGCACTCGCTAGTTCCTCCCACAAGCTCCAAGTCGCCTAACAAGCCATTTCCAGTGGTAAAATGCGGCAGCCACAGTGAAGAAAACATCAGTATGTACTGTGTGTTTTGTCGTGTCCCTGTATGTTACGTTTGTTTGGAACGGGGACAGCATAGCGGACACGAAGTAAAGGCATTGGGGCGATGTTTAAAGAGCAAAAGGTTAGCGAACGTCTTAATTTTTATTTATTTTACCCTGTAGCAATCTGACTTCGCTCAGAAAGGTAATCAAGCCATTCGAACGCAATGAGTGGTCTTCGTGCATGAAATTGACTCGAAAAATACACCTGTAATTTTTACTTTTATTTTTTGCACTCTTTTTAAAAGAAATGCTTTTAAATTAATTATTACTTAAAATTGTAACTCCAGATTATTTTTTCTGGCCTCTTATACAATATTTTCCTCTTCAGAGGAAAATCTATTACTAAACTGAGAGCATAATGCAAATTTCTGTAATGTGAATATTTAATTCATGCAGGAATCGAGTTACTGAAGTCAAAATGTGCGAAATCTTGAAATCTAGAAATGACGTTTTGAATATATTGTCGAAAGTGTATTCGTAAAAACATATTTTTTTTGGAAGAAAAAAATTCTAGATATAAACTTCGATCAGTGTTATTAAAATCTATTTTTTTTATTATAGTTCAATTTATTTTTGTTATTTACAATGTACCGTACAAATATTTGAAAAATTATTTTCCTTATTTGACTTTTTTTTGCCCCTTGTTTATAATTTTGTGCTTGCTGGAGGCATAATTGTCATCCAAATTTTTGTTTGTATTGAAACTCAATATATATAATTTAACATAAAATATGTCTGACCCATTATTTCTCCAAGATGGCCTTATGTTAAATTCTGAATTGGCTGTCACTTGTTTCCTTCAGATCTGCTTGTGGTAATCTTTTCTTGCCCGGGTTGAATTTAATCTAAAATATTTGACAGCTCTGTATTAATTTATCTTTTAATTTTTAAAAGGCATTACACAATACCTACCAGTAATGTCTGCAGTTTGCAACAAGAAAATATCTAAATTTATTGTAAATTGTATCTTTGTTTGTTCTGGCTTATGTTACAGGTTGAACTTTCAGCTAATATGAAGTTGTTGGATGGAAAGAACAATGAATTACAAAGCTTTAATCAACGCCTTAATGGCAACTGCTCGATAATCCAGGTGAAAATTTTGATATTTTGGCTTCCCATCGCCTATGCATTTTTAACCAAGAAGCAACATTATAATATATGTAGTTCAATTCTTACCATTTTATTTCCTTCCATCTGTCTTTCCATAGCAAGAAAATGTGCAGTTCCAGAAAATATCCATACCCACCCCAAGGAAGCTCATTGGAAATTCTGAGGGGGGGGGGGGGGGGGGGGGGGGAAAAGGGGGAGGATCTCAAAAGCCTCGGTTTCTGTAGCAATTTGAAGCGACTAGGAGTATTATTGCTACTCCCCTGGATGGGATGCTAGTCCATCCCAGGTTACCCCCCAGCATTTTGTCGCCGGTACCCATTTATACTGGGTGAGAGGTACTGTGAGAGTTAAGTGTCTTGCCCAAGAACACAACACAGTGACCTCGGCCAGGGCTCAAACCCAGACCACTTGGTCCGAAGTCCAGCACGCTATCCATTAGGCTACTACATCTCCCACGGTGGGGGTATGGATATTTTGGAACAACACAATCATCGGTTCTCTCATTTGCCTTTTTTCCAGGAAAATGGTTTGGAATTTGAGGCCAGCGTTGTAGCGCAGTGTGATGCATTGATAAACTTCATACAGCAACGCAAAGTGGAGTTAATTGATGCCATCACAACAGAGATGAACTCCAAGATTCAGAAAGTAAAAGAAACAAATGAAAACTTGCGACAAAAAGTTCAAAGTGTGGCTGGGTTACTTCAGTATGGTAATGAATGTTTACAAGGCACGGATGCTGCTTCTTTCCTGTTGGTAAGTGCTTTCAAGATCTACAGCTAATTTCTCTGTACAATATCAATATATTGTCAAGCGGACAGGTGATGAGAATAAAGAAAATCATCAACTAGAGGATATTGTGTTGATTTAACACCAAATTCTCAACCTGACGTAGTAAGTGGCTGGGATTTTGACCTTCAGACTGGTGTCCAGTATCAAGCTGTGCTAACAATAAATGTGTCAGGACCCGCGATTTTGTTAGCAGAAAAAGTCTGCACTCTGGCCATTGACCATCGGGGGTTGTTATTGCTACTCCTCCTGGATGGGATGCTAGTCCATTGCAGGTTACCCCCCCCCCCCCCCCCCCCCCCCCCCCCCCCCCCACTCCCAGCATTTTGTAAGGTTGCCCAGTTCTCTGCTACCCATTTATACTCCTGGGTGGAGAGAGCCACTGTGGGAGTAAAGTGTCTTGCCCAAGAACACAACACAGTGACGCTGGCCAAGGATCAAACCTGGACCACTCAAATCCGGAGTCCAACGCACTAACCATTAGGCCACCACAGTGTTGGTGTGAAATAAAGAAAAATTATTTTGAGACATTACAATTTTTGGAATAAACTTAATTCTCCTTTCTTTCTTTCCTTTTATTTTCAGGTTGCAAACTCTTTAAATGGAAGGTTAGTTAATTAATTTTTATATTAATTAAAAAGCAACACAGTACAAGAAATATAAAGAAAATCCATTAATTACAGGATGTTCTCACAATTAATTTATATAGAAAGAAATCACTGGCAAATCACCAAAAAATAGGAGAAGTACAGTCTTGTAATATTTGTGAGCTTGGAGCTGGTGTTTCGACTGTTTCATAATAAATGGGGGGGGGGGGGGGGGGGGGGACTGGCTTATAATTTATAAAATTTGTCTACCAAAGGGGAGTAGGCTTATAGAGCTTTAATAGAGCTTTTAGGGTAGCTACTGGAGATGATAGAAAATTAAGGATAATTCTTCATGCTCTCGTAGAATTCTAAGCCTTGCTAATCAGTGGTCAAAGGAAGTCAAACTTGAGCCGACAACTGGCATGGAACTGGAATTGACTCTGGACACGTCAGCTGCAAGGCAGGCTCTTCATGATCTGCACTTCATAGAACTTAAAGGTTAGTTTACTGTGTGACATAGTAAAGTAAAACCTTTTCAGAGCCTAGAGCAACAGGCATTTAGTTCATAATTTCAATTTTGTTTTCGCAGCTCCAATAGCCCCAGAAATAGAACCAGATGAGTGCACTGTCACAAACAATGCCATAACATTGTCATGGAAACCACGTAAACAAAGCTGTGTTGACGGTTATGTGGTTGAGGTTGATGATGGTGCTTCCAGTGGTAATTATCTGGAGGTGTACAGAGGAAACTGTCTGGAGTGCACTGTATCTGGCCTGCAGTTTAATTCGACGTACAGAGCAAGGGTGAAGGGATTTAACAAGGCTGGTGAAGGTGCACCAAGTGATGAGGTGTATCTGACGACTTCTGATGGTAAGCAAAATAAAGACAATTACAAATGAAAATAAACCCACAGATTTAACTGCATAATGACTTTGATACGCGTCCCATAAGAAAGAAAAAGATGTTGTCCCAAGCAGGAATCGTACCCACGTCTCTCTGGTTACATGTCGGGCGTGATGACCACTACACTATCAAGGCAACCATGCTGGCAATGTGGCCACTTAACGTAGTGAGTAGTATCATATGCAAGTCTTCTCCGGAACATTTTTTTGGCTGCGTATCATACTTACTCACTATGTTAAGTGGCCACGTTGCCAGCGTGGTTGCTTCAATAGTGTAGTGGTCATCATGCCCGACATGTAACCAGGGAGATGTGGGTTCGATTCCCGCCCGGGACAACATATTTTTTCTTTCTTATGGGACTTGTGTCGAAAGTGGGTTTATTTTCATTTATAATAATAATTTCGAAGCCAGGAAAGTTCCGCAACAATTATAGTTGCGAGACTTTCCTGGCTTCAAAATTATTCTTCATTCAAATTAAAACAAAGATGTAACTGCTCTAGTCAAAGCCTGGATTATTTCATTGAGTAACAATAATCTTTAAGTCTTTACCCAGCCTCTAGTCAGCCTGCTAGTTTTCCACAGTTTTCCCCTCAATGCAACATTTTTTTCTTTCACCATGGTTCAAAAGATTACTATAAATACAGTTACGAACTTTTCAGTCAATGAAACATTTGGAACTCTTGGAAGTCAAGTCAATGCTTGAAGATACATAGTCATCATCATCATCATCATCACAACCACCACCATCATCATCATCATCGTCATCATCATCATTATCATCGTCACCACCACCATTGTGACTGTCATCATCATTGAACACTATTACATTTGTAATAATTTTATTATGCTTGCATCTTCACCAGTAGCTTATTTGTACCTATTGCAGTTGCGTGGTTTGCTTTGGACCCTATCACTGCCCATCAAGACATAGTCCTGACCAATGACAACACAACGACAACCTGCACAAGCTTTGACGACAGAGTTGTGCTGGGTAACATTGGTTTTTCACGCGGCTGCCACTATTGGGAGGTGACCATAGATCGTTATGATGGAAACCCAGATCCCGCAGTTGGCGTCGCATTAGGTAGTACCATCAAGGATTCCATCCTGGGTAAAGATGACAAGGCTTGGTGTATGTACATCGACAGCAGTCGTAGCTGGTTTCGCCATAATAACGAGCATTCCAATCGCCGTGACGGTGGGGTGGAGGTGGGGGCTGTTATCGGAGTGTTGCTCGACATACCTAATCACAAAGTGACATTTTATTTGAACGACCAGAAGAGAGGGCTCATGCGATTGCCTGATATCCCAGAAGCCTTTTATGCAGCATTCAGTTTAAGTCGTAATGTACAAATTACGCTGCACACCGGGCTCGAACCTCCAGAAGAGGCATATAATACCAGCAAATAACATGTGAAAATGGTAACATATGGTTATAGTTATTATAATTATTTAATATTTATTGAAATTATATAATAAATATTTATTTAATTTATTTAATTGTCAATCAAATATTTTTCTTGATTACAGTGATTTATAATTTTTTATCTGTGGAGTTTAATTGTTACATTTTTAGACTCTTTTCTCATTTTTATTAAATGATTATAAATGATAATAGTTTATTATTATTATTTTATTTTTCTGAACTAAAGTTATTGTTATTATATTATATTGCGGTTGTGTCATTTCTTGTTGATATTTATTGTGGCATGATAACTCTTAAAATTGATATTTAATATTTTATTGGTTGTTAATTTGAAACTAGCTTTTGATCGGTTAATGTGAACAGTGAACTTTTCCAGTCAAATAAACAAGCTAATCTTCTATTCAAGGTGATCAATTATCGATCACCTTGAATAGAAGATCAGCTTGTTTATTGTATCCTAATGCTATGATACAGTATTAAGTCAACCTGTTGTGATTGAGGTAACAGTAGATTAAAATTAACCTCCACAGGTAATGAAAAGTAATATAAATTATGCATCTGCTAGTGATACCAAAATATTGGGATTAACAAATCGCCAACTTATGTTTGATAGTCAACAATAATTATATTGTATAAATTATACAGTGAGGTGTGATTTCAGTGGTCTTATGTTTAGACTGTGAAAAGCCTTCTATTTTTATATAGGGGTATCGAATGGTTGCTCAAATTTTCAATTCCTCTCAAAATTAGGTTTCTGCTCGAATTGCTCGAAAATTTTAGTGGGTGCTTGTTTGCTTGTGCTCGCATATTTTTACAAGTGCTCGCATGCTCAGTTTTTGAACAAAGGTAGGTTTTTGCAGAGTGCTCGCTGCTCGCAAGGCTAACTTTTATCGATGCTCATGCTCGCAAAGAAAAACGCTGTGCTTGCATGCTGCAATGCTCGCAAAGACCATTCAATACCCCTTTATATGTTCGATCTTTGAGCCACCCTCCTTCAAGGGAAAAATTGCGGCAGGACAAATCTTCTTGGCATACTTGTAGCGATTGGTAAGGATGATCAGTTGGTAAATAAAAAATAGTTGTTTGTAGTTTTGTCAGATTCGACACATTTCAGTTGGACATATTGAAGATGATGGCTCCATGTAACTGGAGAAAGTAGAAGGCCATTTATGCTCCAATATCTGAAGTTTGTCAGAGCATTGTGTTTACTATTTAAATTAAATAGAACTTAAGTGTTGGAATATGTTGCGTCCAAAGCTAGGACTTTTACGTGCATCTAGACGATATGGTAAATAGTAGCATAAGTTAATAGAAAAGAACTGGAGCTAATGATATTAATGTAAGTGTGTTAAATAGTTTACATAGATAATAATAGTGGTATATATAAGTGCAGAATTGCAAAGCAGAAGATATTTGTAGTTCAAAGTGACTAAAGCAAATTGAGTTGTACTGATCACTCAGTATTATGAACGCTATAAACTGTAATTCATAGCGCTGCAGTTAATTTTACACGTAAAGTAATGAGAAGAAATAGAAAATTAGCTGAACAGGTTTTTCAAAAACTTTGTAATGTGGAGGGGGTCAAGGGGGTCTGAAAGTTTTGCTTACTGTATCCTTTACTTGCAGTTTCCCCTGCCACACCCCTTTATTGGTGGCTTCTGACGGTTTCTTCTTTCCTATAATGCACAATTTATTTTTCTCCTATATTTTCTTCTGTTTCCTGCCAACTCACAAATGCTTTTTCCAGTGCAACCCCTTCTCCCTCTGTTACTCCTCCCCCCCCCCCCCCCCCATTTTCTTGGGTTCCTGTCTCTTTCCACTGTTATTATCTTTTAATTTTGTTTTTAGTGAATGTCTTGGGTTCATTTTAACAGCTAGCTATAGAGAACAGCTTAATTCACATTTGTTTTAAAAGTTTGGGTTGGTTCTTTGATCTTTAGCTTGTTGAGTTGTGATTATGACTGCAATAATAACGTTTGAAAATAATATCGACAAATAAAATCATTACAAGAATGGCAATAGCCACATGTACCTGTCGTGTACCTATTTTTTAGCGAGCTACGAGCGCTGTGCAGTATCTAAACGGGAGTCAAAACACGACGAGAGTTTGGGAATAGTGTAGAAATGGAGAAAATCCGAGCCGAAGGCGAGTGTTTTCTACATTTTGCAAGTGTTCTCGAATGATCAGTCAAAAGGATAATCGCTACAGTGAAGGCATATTGAAAATTAATCGATCCTAAAACTGCCTGAATATACCTTAATGGTAAACCCATGCAGTTGCAGGAGCGATTCATTTTCTTTGGTCTGATCTATAAATCCAGATCGTGTTGAACCGGGGTTGAACCATTACGCTGAACAATGGTCGCTCGGTAGTGCACAAAACCAAATTTCCTTTTAGCTGAGCATCTCAGAAATTTGAGAAGCCGAACTGAGATTTGGGTTATGCTGCGTATGGCTTGGCCTTCCTGAAAGGGGAACGCTGTAAAGGTGAGCCTTCACCGGAAGATACTACAGACACAGCGAGGCAGTAGATGCGAATTCAAGTTGTAAGATTACTTTTCCGGCATCTCGTTGTAAA